AGAAGACTTCGTGCTCTTCTATGGAAAACGGCCTCGTGTTCTTATATGGAAGGGCCAAATTAATGATTTTTAGAGGACCACTAGGACAAAAGAAAGAGGCTATCATAGCGGATTTTTTAATGACCAAAATCTTGGATCATTAAAGGAATCACCGGAAACAAATTCGTTGAGTTTTATAGGCCCCAAGGGTAATTACGACCACAATAATGCATTTTTCAAAAGGACCGTCAGATCTAAAACCCATAAGCCAAAATCATGGATTTTTAAAGAATCGCTAGAACCATAGCAGCGGCTTTTAAAAGGACTATTAGAGCTATAATCATAGAATTTAGAAAGAACCGCTAGAGCTAGAATTGTAATTGTTTTAAGTCTACAGAGCTCTTGAAAAGAGATTGAAAACCTCGTGCCTTCTATGGAAGAAGACTTAGTGCTCTTCTATGGAAAACGGCTTCGTGTTCTTCTATGGAAGAGCCAAATTTATGATTTTTAGAGGACCACTAGGCCAAAAAAAGAGGCTATCATCGCGGATTTTTTAAGGAACCACATGACCAAAATCCTGGGTCATTAAAGGGACCAACGGAAACAAATTCATCGCGTTTTTTTTTCAAAAGAACGGCCAGACCTAAAACCCATAGGCCAAAATCATGGATTTTTAAAGGATAACCAGAACCATAGCCGTGCATTTTGAAAGAACCGCTAGAGCTAGAATCGCAATTGTATTAAGTTTACAGAGCTTTTCGAAGAAGTCTTCGTGCTCTTCTTTGGAAAACAGTCTCGTGTTCTTCTATGGAAGACGGCTTCGTGTTCTTCTATGGAAGACGGTCTTGTTCTCTTCTGTGGAAGACGACCTCGTACTCTTCTATGGAATACGGCCTTGTGATCTTCGATTGAATACCTTTCGTGTTTTTCGATTAAAGACCTTCCATGCTCTTTCATTGAAGGCCTTCCATGCTCTTCAATCGAAGACCTCTCGTGCTCTTCTATAGAAGACCTCTCGTGCTCTTCGATTGATGACCTCTCATGCTCTTCGATTGGTGGCCACTCGTGCTCATCGATTGAAGACCTCTCATGCTATTCGATTGAAGACCTCTCGCGCTCTTTGATTGATGACCTCTCATGCTCTTCGATTGAAGACCCCTCTTGCTCTTTGATTAAAGACCCCTCGTGCTCTTCTATTGAAGACCTCTTGTACTCTACGATTGAAAACATCGCTTGCTCCACTATTGGAAACCCATAATCGTGTTTTTTTAAGGACTGACATACCTAACTCATATTCGCATATTCTAGTGCGGTTTTGAAGGTCCTCCAGCACTATTATAATGGATTTTTAAAGAACCTTCGTGGTAAAAAAGATCATTCTTAGATATAATTAGGTTCAAAAATTGGGGTTTTAGAAATACATCCAGGACAATAATCGTTGACTTTCTCGTGCTCTTCTATAGAAGACCTTTCTTACTCTTCAATTGAAGACCCCTCGCGCTCTTAGATTGTAATATTTTGAATCGATTTCCAAAAACAGATTCATCTTCAAGGTTCAGCATACATCACCGTCTGGGCATTGATATGTCAGCCAGACAATCTTCGAACGCTCAGCTCTTTTCAATACCGAAATCTATGGTTTACAAGGGACCAATTTCACTGAATCTGTTATGTAATCCGTGAATCTATTTATTTAAAAACTAGTTCCCACTTCTTCCAGCCTTCACCGATCCACAACTTTTGCTAAATTCAAACAATAAAACATTATTGTCACTCCCACACGAACTAAATATTGCAGCATATCATCTTTTCGTTATTCTTGTTGGAATGGACGACAATTTTAAATGTCCGCAATGCGAGAATCCTTTTTATAGCTTGCGGATGTCAGAACACTAAATGTCCTCCCCCGTTTTTTTTTTTACTTTTTTGCTTTTCTTCGTTTCTACTTTGAAAAGGAAACGGATATATCACAAAACACGTCAGAGACACTAAAATAACGTCAAGTTGAACTTAAGAGCTTGAGAGTTGAAGCTTAGTTTTGTGTCTCCATATATAACGGCGCAATAGAACAAACATACATACACACAGGGGCCACGCATATGACACACTCACACATATGTGCAAGTCAACGAGCATGTTGTTGAGAGTTTTTCTTTTTTATGACACTGTTGTTCTGCTGAGTTGGCGAGAAACCCAACCATTTCTTCGTAAGGAAATAAACATTTTCGCTTCAGAGATTTTTGGAGGAGAGTTGTGATTGGGGGAATGGGGCGGGATTCCGGAGTGGATGTAGTACGGAAAACTTTAACATATAAATATCATAAATAAGTTGAATGGAGAGAGAGGGGAAAAGTTTTCTACACTATAAGTAAATATGTGAGAATTATCCTTAAAATCTGTTGGAAAATAGCATTTTCGCTGACAAAGAGAATAAATCGTTTAAAATATGATGAACATAGTTTGAAAGTCATAAAAATTCCAAAACATATATAACGGATTGCTGCTTATAACTATAAATACTAAAAAATGTAGATAAATAGAATACCTTCCCAAAATCTTCTAATGGCGGATGGGTTCTCTAAAATGGGGTGATTTAAAAGTGTCCCAATCAGGGATGAGCTAAAGGTAATTTGAGAATATAACCAATTTTATTGGTCTCAAATTGACTTTCTTCCTTGAAAAACACGAGGACTACCAACAGTAAAGTCTGTAAAAGAAGACTTTGAATTCTTTCACAGGAGACTATTAAGACTTCAAACCCATGACGCACGAGATCTTCGGTAAAAAATCACAAGATCATAAAGAAAAAAGCACGAGGTCATCAATAAAAAAAACACGAGGACTTCGATAGAGGAGAGCGAGATCTTCGATGGAAAAGCACGAGGTGGTCGATAAAAAAGCACGAGGTCTTCAATAGAGGGGCACAAGATCTTCAACAGAAGACCACGAGTTTTTCGATATAGAAGACCACGAGTTTTTCGATATAGAAGAGCACGAGGTCCTCGCTATAGAAGAGCATGAGGTCATCGCTATAGAAGAGCACGAGGTCCTCGCTATAGAAGAGCACGAGGTCCTCGCTATAGCAGAGCACGAGGTCCTCGCTATAGCAGAGCACGAGATCCTCGTTATAGCAGAACACGAGGTCCTCGCTATAGCAGAGCACGAGGTCCTCGCTATAGCAGAGCACGAGGTCCTCGCTATAGCAGAGCACGAGGTCCTCGCTATAGCAGAGCACGAGGTCCTCGCTATAGCAGAGCACGAGGTCCTCGCTATAGCAGAGCACGAGGTCCTCGCTATGGCAGAGCACGAGGTCCTCGCTATAGAAGAGCACGAGATCCTCGCTATAGAAGAGCACGAGGTCCTCGCTATAGAAGAGCACGAGGTCCTCGCTATAGAAGAGCACGAGGTCCTCGCTGTAGAAGAGCACGAGGTCTTCAATGGAAGACTTTGGAGTCTTCTCCATTAGAAGACCTTGAGGTCTCCTTCATTAGAAAACCTTGAGGTCTCCTTCATCAATAGAAAACGTAAAAGTAGAAAACAGAAGACCATGAGAGTTCATTGGAAGACTATGTGGTCATCAAAAGAAGAGAGGTATTTAATAAAAGACCATGAGATCTTCTTCGTTAAAAGACATTGAAGACTTCTTCATTGGAAGATTTTGGGGTGTTGAAAAAGAAAACCTCAAGATTTTCTATGGAAGACAACGAGGTCTTCAAGGCCTTGAGGTCTTGAACAGAAGATTCAGAGGTCCACAAAAAAAGGCCCTGAGGTTCTTAATTTTGGATTTACATCAAACAAATGTCTCCTTGCAGCTCTATTTTAGCTATGGTGCAGATACATTTGCAAAATGTTTGGAAAATAAGTTTTTCCAAGGATACAATCCCACCCTTCAAAAGAAATTTCAAATCTAAGTTGATTGAACACATCCTAGCCGAAAATATTTGAACATAGGTCCAGGTTCAGAATGGGAAATGGGAAACAATTTTGGGAAATAAGTTCCTCCAAGGATATAAACCCACCCTGAGGATTGAAATCTAATTTGATTGAACACTTCCTAGTCCAAAATATTTGAGCATAGGTCCAGGTTTTAGAATGGCCCCCAAAAAACTGTATAACCAGTTTTTTGTTATTTTAAATTTCCAATCTCAAAGGCTTATAATTTGTCTCTAACGAACAGAACAATATTTGAAAAAATATTCTACATATGCTCAAGTTTCGATACATCGCTCAGGTTACGATAGCCCCAGAATTTACGTATTTTGCAGTCCTTAGCCACATTTTTCAATCGAATATAATTTAAGTTTTTATCATACCCTGGTTGAAATTAATGCCGTTTTATTTGTTTTTTAGTAATTTTGTAGGAGATGCATCCTTAAACTTGATATCCTTGCTGATTTATTTGCAAATCTCAAATTCTTAGTATTAATGTCCAACTCATACTGATGAATGTATGTGTGGTCATGTAGTGGTTTGCACATTCCTGGTAATGACGAGCAAAAAAAAACCGTACCTTTCGTAGTTTTTCAGAAAAAAGGACACCCGCCACCTCCCGAAAAAACGGAAACTAAACAAAGCTTTAGTTACCCCTGACAACCAAAGAAAAAATTCTAAACGCAAAAAAAAAACAATAAAACAGAACCCCCAACAAAAATCTTTAAAACAAACACATACACACATCGTACTTCACGTTCTCACACACACACCTGTCGCCTCCTCCCCGAAAAATAAGTCTATACGTGTGTTGATAAACGGCTTAAGGTATTATGTTGGTCGTATGGTCTTTAGGATTGAGGTACGTACGTCCATTTTTTTTTTTTTTTGTTTTTTTTTGCTCCTGGACTACCTTTAAAGCATTTTGGAAAGCCAACGTATGTGAACGACCGAAATGCGTTTTTATGTGTCCAATAAGGACGGACAACGATGATGACGACGACGACTATGGTTTTTGGGCAAAGTATAAATGAATGAATGGATTTTTCTGAAAAACAGAAAAAACAACATCCACAAAAGTGTCTACATACCTTTTCCTCTTCCGGTTTACCGGTATCTTTATCAATTTTCGCCATGCAAGCAGCTGAACCTCCTGGACAGCCCAAAGCATATTTGGGTACTAATGGTCGGCATACATTTAGGAAGATCTGTCGAGTTGGTTGCAGGTTGAATATTTTTTGTATTTAGTTTTTGGATCCAAAGGACGGTAGTATTTGTCGCACGCACACACACACGCATTAAGGAATATACGCCGGATACGATATGAAAAAAGAAAGAGAGAGAGAAAAATCGGTTATGAGATATACGAATGTTCAAGTGAATATAAAGCATAATTAAAAGAGAATACAGGTTAAGGCAAAATGGATACAAAACGGATGAATGAAATAATGAATCGGATAAAACTTGAATGAGTATTTCTTTGATATAGACCATTAGGGAGATGCTTTAGAAGCAAAAGGCATGTAAAGATACATGATGGATTACAGACAATTTTAAATGGGATACAGAAATCAAATTAGATGCTCTGGATAAAATATGACAAACAAATAAGGTACAGAAATAGACTCCACTCAAGACATATAGAAGAACTTGTCGCCTCGTCGAGAAATTTATTTTCCAAAAATTTTGCAAATGCATCTGCACAATAGCTAAAGGAGAGCTGCAATGAGAGGTTTTGTTTCATCCAAATCCAAAATTAAGGACCTCAGGGCCTTTTTTGTGGACCTCTGGACCTCAAGGACTTGAATACATTGATGGTTTCCTTTTGAACACCCCAAAATCTTCCATTGAAGAAGACTTCAATGTCTTTCAATGAAGAAGATCTCATGGTCTTTTATTGAATACCTCTATTCCATTGAAGACCTCTCTTGTATTGATGACCACGCAGTCTTCCGATGAACCCTCATGATCTTCTGTTTTCTACATTAACATTTTCTATTGAAGGCCTCTAAGACTTCTAATGAAGAAGACCTCATGACCCTATTTTTAAGCCCCAAGGTCTTCCATTGAAGACATCATGATCTTCTACTGGGCCCCTCATGATCTTCTACCAAAGACCTTCAGTTTCTCTATTGAAGACCTCAGTATCTTCTACTGAAGACCTCATGGTCGTCTACTGAAGACCTCATGGTCTTCTACTGAAGACCTCATGGTCTTCTACTGAAGACCTCATGATCTTCTACTGAAGTCCTCATGGTCTTCTACTGGGCCCCTCATGATCTTCAACTGAAGACCTCATGATCTTCTACTTAAGACCTCATGATCTTCAACTGAAGACCTCATGATCTTCTACTTAAGACCTCATGATCTTCTACTGAAGACCTCATGGTCTTCTACTGAAGACCTCATGGTCTTCTACTGAAGACCTCATGGTCTTCTACTGAAGACCTCATGCTCTTCTACTGAAGACCTCATGCTCTTCTACTGAAGACCTCATGCTCTTCTACTGAAGACCTCATGGTCTTCTACTGAAGACCTCATGGTCTTCTACTGAAGACCTCATGGTCTTCTACTGAAGACCTCATGGTCTTCTACTGAAGACCTCATGCTCTTCTACTGAAGACCTCATGCTCTTCTACTGAAGACCTCATGCTCTTCTACTGAAGACCTCATGGTCTTCTACTGGAGACCTCATGGTCTTCTACTGAAGACCTCATGGTCTTCTACTGAAGATCTCATGGACTTCTACTGAAGACCTCATGGTCTTCTGCTGAAGACCTCATGGTCTTCTACTGAAGACCTCATGGTCTTCTATTGAAGACCTCATGGTCTTCCACTGAAGACCTCATGGTATTCTACTGAAGTCCTGATGATCTACTACTGAAGACCTCATGGCCTTCCACTAAAGACCTCATGGTCTTCCACTGAAGACCTCATGGTAATCTACTGAAGACCTCATGGTCTTCTATTGAAGACCTAATGGCCTTCCATTGAAGACCTCATGGCCTTCCATTGAAGACCTCATGGCCTTCCACTGAAGACCTCATGGTCTTCTACTGAAGACCTCATGGCGTTCCACTGAAGACCTCATGGTCTTCTACTGAAGACCTCATGGTCTTCCACTGAAGACCTCATGGTCTTTGACTGAAGACCTCAGCCTGAAGACGACTTCCAGCTCTTCTATTGAAGAAGACTTCCAGCTCTTCGATTGAAGACCTCAAGCTCTTTGATTGAAGATCTCCAACTTTTTGGAATAAAGACCTACAGCTCTTCGATTGAAGACCCTCAGCCTGAAGACAACTTCCAGATCTTCTATTAAAAAAAATCCTCCAGCTTTTCTATTGAAGAAGACCTCCTGCTCTTCGATTGAAGACCTCAAGCTCTTCTTTGAAGACTACAAGCTCTTCCATTGAAGACCTCCAACTATCCTATTAAAGACCTTAAGCTCTTCTATTAAATATCTCAAGCTCTTCTATAGAAGTACTTCCTGCCTTCATACCTTAAATTTACCTAGGATCTTATCATTACAACTGCACTTCCCAAAAACAACCAACGAAAAAAACTCACCTTTGTCGATTTGCCCAGCAGCTGTTTTTGTCCCATTAAAGCCGCATCAATTTCAGCCTCATAATTATCTGTGTTCGAAATCAGGGGTGTCAAATCGATGAAATCCATGCCGGTACCATCTTCCGAATGTTCGACATAGACTTTGGTTTTACAACTTATCTGCTCACGACACGCCAGCTCAGTTTGATAGTGGATTAGCAGTTGACAATTGGAATTTTCAATTATTTTAGGGCCAACATTTTTATCCTTGCTGTTGCTGCCTTCCGTACGATTGGCACAGACGAATTCTATTTTTGTTGACCACTTGGTCAAGCCGGAGTTCGATGTCTGCTGGCAGATGGCACCGTCCTCATAGAGTAGATACGGGGTACCGGTCTGGTTAATACGCAAATGGGCATTGCTTTTGCCCAGACTGGTTGATTGATTATTGACCTGCAGACATGCACCTGTTTTGGAAATAGAGACGGAGAGAGAGAGAGGTAAAAAAGAAGTGAATGAAATGAAAGGGAATAGCAAATGAGTATTTGATGAGTGTTTGTTTGTTGTTCTTGGATGGTTGATGGATGCCGGCTAGGTAAGATAATAATTAAAGTTGATTACACTGTCTGGACACATGGATGGATGTAAAATGAGAAATGTTTTTTTCGGTAGCTCTTAAAGATGACACCTTTGGGTATTGGAAAGAAAGGACATGTAAAAAGGTATTGCAAAAATGAAGAATATTTTTTGTGGGATTTTTTTTTTTTTTGGAAATTTGTCTGATTTTTGTTCTTATGAAACCTGGCACCATTGCAAAAATAGTAGGATATGAAAATCTATTGCGAAAGTTAAGGACATTCTTGACACTTTTCATTCCCTTTGTTATACTCTCTTTAAGATAATTTTTTTCCAAAATATCCTTGTGCTGCCCACCCACATGCCATGCCATAAATTTGTTATTGGTCCATCTATCGAAGCAGCCATTAGCCTAAAATGGATACTTATTTTCAAGTTCAACGATTCGTTCATTTTTTTCCCTCTTTTTTTTCTCGAAAAAATGCTATAAATTCTTCGAAGACTAACTAGACTCTGTCCATGCCAAATAAATATACAGTTTCCTTCGAATTCGCCAGAAGCATCGTTGTGTGCATTGTCCAGCAGTGCAATCAAGTAGAAAAATTAACTCAATAGTCCTTAAAAATGTACGTAATGGCCAAAAGTGTTTGGGGTAAAACACCCTCTTTGTACTCCAAATACAGGCGCACACATTTACGCACACACTCAAACACAAAGTCATATATGTACACAAATTGTCATGTAATATAGTTCATACAAAAAAGATAACGATGGGAGATTATAAGAGCTGATTAGGGTGGATTGAATTGGTCACCTTTGGCACAAATTATGGCCTTTAAACGGCCAATGAAACCGTCACACGCTACACGAATGTTGCGCTGCGGTATTTTGGCCCAGTCCCGGCGAAGCGCTTGCTTGAGCTGATCGACACTTTGGTATTTTTTAGTGCCAACCGTGCTTTCCAAAATACTCCAGAGACAATAGTCCAACGGATTGGTATCTGCAGATTTTGGTGATCATTTGGCGCTGGAAATGAAGTGAGGAACCTCATTTTGTAACCAATTTTGGGTGGCGCGTGCTGAGTGCGATGGTGCTGAGTCCTTTTGGAATGTCCAAGGCTTTAATACACCCTCCATAATATTTTTGCGATAACATTCGGCATTTATTCAGATGCCACGGTCGATTAATGCGAGCGGAGAGCGGATCATCACCATGGCCGGCGCTTAAGTTCTGGGGGTCAACCGAAGGTGCACATTTTCATCTGACCTCTTGGCAAGGAAAAACACGATCATATTGTTTGTTTACAAACTGCTGGACAACGAATGTTTTCTCATCGGAGAAAACCAAATTCGGCAGTTCACCACTTTCGGCCAAGCGAAACAACGCTTTAGCTCTTTTGAGTCTATTTTCTTTACGTTGCGGTGTAAGTCCTTGCACTTTTTGGAGTTTCAATAGCTTTACCCCGAGTTCATTTTTCAATATTTGCCGAATGGAATATTGCGATAAGTTCAGTTCATGAGCCATTTTTCGAACTTTTCGAACCATTTCTGCTGACGTTGCTGTTTTCTTCCGTCCACTTCCTTGACGTAGGGCTACGCATATATATATATACATTTAAATGCTGGAGTACTCTACCGATAGCCATTTGTGGTTTTCCAGCCAAATATAAAGAAATCACACTATCACGCTTGACTTGAAAGAGCTTGAAATCTGAAATTTGATATTGAGATCTCTGTTCATGTGTAGCCTGTACATATGGAGGTGGTTTCGGAAATATGTACTATAATCGTACGAAAAGTACTGAAAAGTACTATATTTAGTATTCGGTGAAGGAATAGAGATAAAATTCTAAATCTTAATATTTAGATTATATATGGCATATGTTTTGGAGGTTTGACGGTACTTTGGGAAGGCGTCCTATATTTGAACAAAAAGTACTAAATGGTACTATATTTGTCATTGGCTGAAGGGTTGGAGCTGGAATCCTCAAATTTGATATTAAGGTCCCTGTTGGTACTAAATTTGGTATTGGGTAAAGGGATAGGACTGGAATTCCCAAATTTGACATTGAGGTCTCTGTTGGTATCTGGCAATGAGATATGGAGGTGGTTTTAGAAATGTGTATTATAATTGTACGAAGAGTATAAAATAATACAAAATTTGGTATTGTGTGAAAGAATATAATATTTTTGCAGGAAAAGTACTTAATTGTACTAAATTTTTTATAGGTTGAAGGGGTAGGACTGAAATCTTCAAATTTGATATTGAGGTCCATGTTGATATTTTGCATTGAGATTTGGCGGTGATTTGGAAATGCGTCCAATATTTGTACAACCTAAATGGTACTAAATTTGGTATGGGCTGAAGGGATATAGCTGGAATCCTCAAATTTGATATTGAGGTTACTCTGAGTGTCTGAGGTTATGCTATGCACGTATTTTTGGAAATGTGTTCTATAATTGTTCGAAAAGTATTAAATTGGTATTGGGTGAAGCGATAGAGCTGGAGTCACGAAATGTCATATTGAAGTCCTTGTTCGTATCTGGTGTTGAGATGTGGGGGTGGTTTTGGAAGCGTGTATTATAATTTTACGAAAAGTTTTAAATTTGGAAATTGGTGAAGAAATAAATCTGATATCCTGAAATTTGATATTAAGGTCTCTGGTGGTTTAGCAAATGTATACTATAATTATTCAAAAAGTACTAAATGATACTAATGGTACTATTGATGTCTAGAATGGAAATTGCTTTGGATATGTGTACGAAATTTGGCATTGAGTGAAGAGAGCTGAAATTCTGAAATATGATATTGAGGTCAATGTTGGTTTTTAGGGTTAACATTTGGAGGCGTTGAAATAGTTTTAGACAGAAAAATTTGGTGTGGTTCCATTGTGCAATGTTTTTAGCCCGTTATATGAGGGCTATATGAAGAAGAGGACCTGCATACGCAATTCTTATCATAGGCTGTAGTACCCATTAGGACCTTCAAAAACGAATTTAAAACAATTCCGTCACATAATAGCATCAAAATACCAAAACTCCCCGTTATATATAGCCCCCATACGAAGACATGAACCTGCATATACAATTTTCTGTCAGAGTTTGAAGTACGAACTTCAGATACGACATTTCCGGTAAATAATGTTTTTAAAATCATCAAAATACCGGGAAGTATTGTTAAATGGCGGCTATACGCAAATGTCATAGGCTGTCGTATACATTAGAACTTTAAATACGAAAATTATTTAAAAAAATGTCTCTAATACGATAAAAGTACAGAATTTTGGGAGGTACTGTTATATAGGGACTATACGAAGGCGTGTCGTAAGTTGTAGTAGTGTAGGTACCGTTATATGGGGGCTATACGAAACCGTGGACTGGCATGACCCATTTACGAACTAAATCTGCTACTGACAAAATACACATGTGTGCACCATTTTAGCGTTCTATCACAATTCGTGATAACAACAAACCGACAGACACACAGACAGGTGGACTCTGATCAAGAATATATATTTTTTGGTTTTGACATGCGTATTTCGAGGAGTTACAAGCGGAATGACGAATTTCATATACCCTCTATAGTATGGTGGAGGGCATAAAAGGCCTAACACGAACTGTTAGAACGAATCTTGAGGGACTTAGTCCTTGTATGTGATTTAACTGTGATAAAAAATGTACAATAAAGCTTTAGATACTTAGTATAAAGTGCAAATCCACCCCAATGTACACAATCTCGTAAGTATGGTCTATTCTTCATCGCAAGATTATAGATTGGCCCACATAAATGATTTTTATTGCTTAACAGATGAATGACTTTCAAGCAGAGCCATAATTCCAATGGCCTCGGAAGGGACACTCACTCACACACACCCAAAACTTACGCCGGCGGCACTCGGTGGTATCATCAATGTCCTTTCCTAATATCGTTACAAATCATAGTAAATGGCCTAAAAGGCTATAAGGGAACGGCCATCAACCGGCTGAGTGACCGACGAAGGAAAAAGGCAACCTCTTTAACACTATGTGTGTGTGAGTGTGTGTCCGCCAAGCAACAAACAAAACAACAACAAGAAGGACAACAATGTGTTTGTTGTAGTTGACTCGAAAGCATCAATAACCAAACGACAGGAAGGCCAACAGCAGCAGCTTACCAGCAGCCAGTCCCATAGTTCAGCTTCGAAAAATGCTAGAAAGGTAGGCAAGCAGGCAGGCAGGTGGGAGGCATTGCAAAAGCATTCAAGTCAAGTGGCATAAATATCACAAAATACCGGACCAAGTTAAAGCTGTGACGAGGTGGAGTCAGGTTAAAGGATTGTTGCTTGGCGAACGAACTACTGCTGGCCTTTCGAATGTGTGTTGGTGTTTTAAACGAATGGTGTGACGAGTGACACGTCGCAGCTACATGCTTACACGTATTTATATACGACACGCATTGTGTAGTCCGCAGCTCCTATCTATTGAAGGCGTGTGACCGTTAAACAAGGTTGAATGCATGGGAGGATATGATTTTACAACAGGTATTTCGATAAATGACCTTTAGTTCGTGGGGGAAGTGAGAGAAGGCGGTTGGATGTGTGTGTGTGATTAGTTTAATTTAAAATTGTGTGGAAATATTTGGAACAATTCGAAAGGATATAAAGTCTCGGGCTACTATACGTGATAGAAGACCTTAAGGTCTTCTACACGATATAGAAGACCTTAAGGGCTACTATACTATATAGAATACCTTAAGGTCTCCTATACGATATAGAAGACCTTAAGGTCTCCCTATACGATATAGAAGACCTTAAGATCTCCTTATACGATAAAGAAGACCTTAAGGTCTCCTATACGATATAGAAGACCTTAAGGTCTCCTATACGATATAGAAGACCTTAAGGTCTCCTATA